CTTGATGCTTGGTATGGAGCAAGAAAGTTTGCATTATCTCCCTTGTTGATGACTGGAAGTATTACAAAAGCAGATTATGAAGAAAAGGGCAGTGAATACCTTAAAGAACACTGTGCATCCAATAGATATTTTCAAACTCCTCCATCAAACAAATGAATCAATAAACTTGGATAGTATTATGTGTTTCATTTTGAATTTTTGGGAAAAATTATACCTACTTGCACTGTATATAGTCTAAGTAATTGTGTCAAGTACTGTTTGCTACTTTCAGTCACCCAAATCATTCAGGTGAAAATGCATGAAAAAAAAAATCTTAATGCATCAAGCAGTTAAGCTGTTAGCACAATTATAGCATACAATTCGTCTACCGAAATTGTAATGTTGATGGACCCCAGGGTGTGTGTTAAAGGTTATATGAGGATTTATTGATCACAGAGTGAAAATGCAAACCAGATAAATCCATTTGAAAAAAATCTTCTAAGCCCCCCTGTATACATGTAATAAGCAACTAAATTAAGGGCATTGTTATGATGAGCAAGGGTGCCTCTTCCAAAAGTGTGAAATTTATGACCCCTGGGTCAGGGTTAGTGATGATAGGGCAGCACTATTTTGGTGATACAGTCAAAATGCATAAATACTACAAAAATTTTCTTTGATCTGGTTATTTTGCAGATATTCAAGTGGATGCCTATGATGAACAAGAGTGTCTCCAAAATTACAATTTTATGGCTCTTGGGTCAGGGGTTCTAGTGTTAGGGAAGGGCTCTGTTGATCATATTGAAAATCATTATCCCCCCTCCCTCCCCAGTATAAAGCTCTAACAAAGGAAGTACTTGATTGTGATGAGCAAATAAGTATGCCATTTTCCAAAATTTTGAGTGTTTGTATGAATTATCATGTGAGCCAATTGCTTGATAATATTACCAGAAGTCTCTGTCAAGACTGTAGCTCTACCGGTTAATACTTATAACAAAGGAAGAGAAGAGTAGCAATTGGGACTTTTTTGACCTCCATTTGACCTTGGAGTTTGACCTTCTTTTAAAAATTTTCAACCTTGGCCATAACTTCTGAACGGTAAAAGCTAAGGCTTCCATACTTTACATATGTATTCTATGTGGCAAGACCTTTCATTGGATACTAATTACCTTGACCTTTGACCCTGACCTTGGAGATTTTTGTACTTCAGCAAAAACTTTAACCTTGGCCATAACTTTTGAACGCTAAGAACTAGCGCTCTCATACTTCACTGATGTAATCCTTGTGAAAAGACCCTCTTTTGAATACCAAGATCTTTGACCCTTTGACCTTGACCTTAGAGTTTGACCTACTTTAAAGGGTAAGGGCTAGTGCTTTCATATTTTACATATTCAATCCTTGTGACAAGACCTTTATTTGATAGCAAAACCTTTGACATTGGAGTTTGACCTACTTTAAAATTTTTTTAACCTTGTCATAACTTCTGAACGGTTAGGGCTAGGGCTTCCATACTTTACAAATATATTTTCTGTGGCAAGACCTTTCATTGATACCAATGACCTTGACCTTGAAGATAATTGTACTCATGAAAAAAAACTTTAACCTTGGCCTACTTTCATATTTCACAATTGTATTTCCAGTGAGAATACCCTGCTGTTGGTACCAATATATTGAATTTGCATTTAAGAAAAGTTTACTCTTTGCTATGTTGCCTCAGTGTTTCACAAACACATCTTGTTTTTATTTAAACAAGAGGCCCATGGGCCTTATAGGTCACCTGAGCATTATACAACAACTTTCCAGTGATTTAATTTGATTCATGTTTTAAGCCAGATGCTATGGTTTTCACAATTTTGAAAGAGGCACCATTGATCATCATAACAATACACTTAGCAGTTGCTTAGTTTGTTTACTTAGTACCCATAGGCAGGGTGGGGGAACAAAAAATGCATTTCAAGTAATCAGTAATATTCAGCAATAATCAGTAATACCCCTATCACACATGAACCCCTGACCCTTAGGCCTAGATCCACACATCGCACAATTTTTGAAAAGGCACCCTTTCTTTTCAAAAATATTTGATTAATACCAAGGAGGAGATCTCAAACAATTCATCCAGTTTCAGTACACCCCCCCCCCCCCCTTTGGTACCCCTGACCCTGGGGCCTTGAAATTCACAATTCTGGAAGATTAGGGTCCTTGCTCATCATAACTACATAGGTAGTTCATCTGCTTAATACCCAAGAGCAGAGAAGAAAATTTTCAAAGATTTAATGTATTTTCACTATATAATCAATAGAGCCCCGCCCTATCACTAGAACCCCTGACCCTAGGGCCATAAAATCAAAATTTTGGAAGAGGTATTCTTGCTCATCATAACTATGTACTTAGTTTATTTAATTCCTAGGAGGAGAAAAGAAATTTTTTCAAAGAATTCATGTATTTTCATTATAGAATCAATAGAGCCCCGCCCTAACACCCGAACCCTGACCCTGGGGCCATAAAATTCACAATTTTGGTAGAGGCACTCTTGCACATCATAACTATGCACTTAGTTAGTTTATTTAATACCCAGAAGCAGAGAAGAAGATTTTCAAAGAATTCATGTATTTTCACTATATAATCAATAGAGCCCCACCCTAACACCAGAACCCCTGACCCTGGGGCCATAAAATTCATAATTTTGGTAGAGGCACTCTTGCTCATCATAACCATGCACTTAGCTAGTTTATTTAATACCAAGGAGCAGAGAAGAAGATTTTCAAAGAATTCATGTAATTTCACTATATAATCTATAGAGCCCCACCCTAGCACCAGAACCCCTGACCCTGGGGCCATTAAATTCACAATTTTGGTAGAGATACTCTTGCTCATCATAACTATGCACTTAGTTAGTTTATTTAATACCCAGGAGCAGAGAAAAAGATTTTCATAAACTTCATGTATTTTCAGTATATAATCAATAGAGCCCCGCCCTAACACCAGAACACCCTAGGGCCATAAAATTCACAATTTTGGTAGAGGCACTCTTGTTCATCATAACTATGCACTTAGTTAGTTTATTTAATACCCAGGAGCAGAGAAGAAGATTTTCAAAGAATTCATGAATTTTCACTATATAATCTATAGAGCCCCGCCCTAACACCCGAACCCTGACCCTGGGGCCATAAAATTCACAATTTTGGTAGAGGCACTCTTGCTCATCATAACTATGCACTTAGTTAGTTTATTTAATACCCAGGAGCAGAGAAGAAGATTTTCAAAGAAATAATGCATGTTCACTATTTACTTATTTAGCCCCAATCTAGCAATAGAACCCCTGACCCCAGGGCCATGAATTTCACAATTTTGGTAGAGGACTCAATGCTGATTACAATCATGCAAACAGTTTGACTGCTTGATGTCCAGGAGTAAAGAAGATTTTTAAAGATTGCATTAATTTTAGTGGTTTTTGCCCCACCCCCCAGGCCCCAGGGGGGCAGGGACCATGAAATTCACAATTTTTGTTCCCCTTCACCCATAGATGCTTTGTGCCAAATTTGGTTGAAATTGGGTCAGTGGTTGCAGAGAAGAAGCTGAAAATGTTCAAATGTTAACGGACGACGCACAACGCATGGCGACGGACGAAAACAGATAGCAATAGGTCACCTGAGTTTACTCAGGTGACCTAAAAATCAGGTATAAAACTATCCTTAGTAACCTCTTTCATAAAACTTACAAGTAATTTAACACTGAAAATGATCTCTCTTTTTCTCTGTAAATACAGTCAAAAGTTCTGTGGAATTATCATTGTTCACGGAGAACCAATAATCATGGATTTCCTGGTTACCCTTGAATTAACATCTATATAAAATTACAAATGTTTATTTTGTAAATATATTGATGAATCAAAAACTCATATTTACAATTTTATTTCACATATAAATGTTAATACATGTATAAGGAATCAATGTCTAGTTTGTTAGCTATGCTAGGAAAATCAACGACAATTGGAAATGTGAAATAATTTATGCTTTGCCCAATATGCAAATGATCCCAAGTTGCCATAGTTGATGTCCTGGTATATACCCAACAAATTAGGTAGTGATTCCTTAAGTAAATGTTTCCTTACTCTCCCTCTCTTTCTCTCTCTCTCTCATAGTCATAAATAAGTTTAATAGACCTTTTCTCAGTTGTTTGCAAAAACAAGAGGCCCATGGGCCACATTGCTCACCTGAGTAACTATGGCCATGCTGTTCTTTACCAGAATTCCCCCAGTGTAATGCCCATTGTGACCCTGCCCTACCCCAGGGTCATGATTTGGCTAACTTAGAACATACACTACCCCAGGATGCTTCCACATATGTTTCACCTTTTCATGCCCAGTGGCATCTTCGCTAGCCAAGGGTTTCCGATCCGAAATCTACTCTACAACCCTTGGCAGATTTAGACCTATCAAACGGGAACTTTGATTGCGCCGCCTATCGCCGTAAATGAGTTAAGTCCCTTGAAGCTCTTTAATATCTGTCCAATGAAAATAGCTGTAACATACGTAGATCAATATGACGTTTAAACAATATGGCGACCTCCATGCAATTTGATGTGGAATATATCCAAACAACTTCACACAGCTGTGGGCAGTAGACACACCTCAAAAGTGGTAGAAAATATTGTTCGTCGTGGATTTTTAGTCAAGAGTTTGACCCCACTTTCTACTTGTTGCGGTATCAATTATTATCAATGAGCCGTGACATTTGATTGGCTTAAATTGATGCACCTAAAATGCGGAACACGGACTTATGTGGTCCTTTCAATAATTCTTGAAAACATATATAATTAAAAGAAAAAAATTCAAATTAATTAATCCCTTGTTTTTTAAGCATATATCACGTCCTAACTTTCATCCCTTGTAAATATTACTCTTATTTTGCATAAAACACGAACATACTTTAATTCAGCCGAAAATCGTCGATTAGTAAAAACCTTGCGTAGACTCGGACTTCGCAGCCAATCAAATTCGTTTGCGCGAGTTCTAAAATTTTCAGCTAAATCTGCCAAGGGTTGTAGAATAGATTTCGGATCGGAAACCCTTGGCTAGCGAAGATGGCCCAGTGGTTCTTGAGAAGAAGATTTTTAAATATTTTTTCCTATACATTTCAATGTAAAAACTGAATTCCCTATTGTGGCTCTGCCCTACCACAAGGGGTCATGATTTGAACAATTTAGAATCTTCACTACCCCAGGATGCTTTCACATATGGTTCAGATTTTCTGGCCCAGTGGTTCTTGAGAAGATTTTTTAATGACCCCACTCTATTTTTGTCTTTTCTTGATTATCTCACCTTGGAAAAAGGCTTGGTCCTTCATTTTAACAATTTAAACTCCTCTTCATGCAAGGAAGTTTTGTACCAATGCAAGTATTGTTAAAATTGGCCAAGTGGTTCTTAAGAAGAAGTTGAAAATGTGAAAAGTTTACAGATGGACAGACAACTTGACAGACAGACGGAAGGACAGCAGGTGATCAGAAAAGCTCACTCGAGTTTTCAGCTCAGGTGAGCTAAAAAAGAAATTCTGTTTTTTCTGCAAATATTCTCTCTTCATTTTAAACAGAAATATAAGTGCTCACTCTCTCTCTCTCTCTCTCTCTAAATAATAGTATGTACAGTATTTACAATATGTAAATTTTCAGAATTTTGGCATCAGTCATCAGTGCTACAGGTATTTTAGTTTTCAGTAGGTTCTGGTCATCTCCTCCCTAGATTTTCCTGCCCCTTTCGGCATTTTCCTCTTTGATGTGTCCTCCAATTCTTTCTGCTTGTAATAGTGAGGTGCAACCTCCAGTAACCAAGAATTCTCAATTTCAATCACCTTAAGAGAAAAATATTGATCTTCAACAGTACATCTTGAGCAATATGTTTTGTGCATTATAGATACACATGAATCTGAATTCCTGAGCATTTTATTTGTACTCTGGTTCTTACCTGTCTCATGAATTCTTTGGTTGTAAACACTAGTTCATGATAGATGAGCCACTTTGGACGATCTTCATACATACTACTGTTGGGGTGAACCATTACTGTCTGGTGATGTTTGACAGTCTTATAATTACCTCCCTTGTCTAATCGAGCAGTGTGGTAAAAATATCCTGCTGTTATGGCCTATCATATAAAATGTTTATTAATGGATATAAAATACACATCAACCAAATGCTGTGAAGTACATTTACTTCCTTAGGCTAAGCATGAATCAAATTTTTGCTCTCTTGTCATTATTATAACACATCTGATTTAGTAGATCTTTGATAAAATGCCAATCTCCACTTATTTTTGAGTGTAAATAGAAGTGAATGCACTACTTACCTTTCTAATGGCCACTGAATCCCCCGGATTGGAAGTGACCTCTATTTCTACTCTTTCCATGAGTCCTTCCAGTTGGTCCCTGATGTCTCTGGCCCTTTTCATAGAGCGATGCTGAATAAAGTTTTCATAACACCACTGAGTAGAGAAAGCGGTCTCTTCCCACTGATCATACACATTTAACAAAGTCAAGTGATCACCCCCTGGGCGAAAGAAGTTAACCCTAGCTGTGTCTGCATGTACCACTTTGTCTTTGGGTCGATAAAACACAGCATTGTTCACAGATAACATGGCACAAATAGTCAAGATTTCTTTTGAACACTTGTATCTGGAATATAAATACATAATAATTAATCATTACTAATACCAGTAGTTTTTAGTTATTTTTCCCTGACTGAATATACTCTAAAGAACAAAATTTAATGATTGTGGGATACAAGTATATTTCTACATAAGGAAAACCATATGTGCATCCTTAAAAAAGGGCATTTTTTCTTCAAATGATGCACTCCTTCAAAGTATCATTAAACTGTCCTTGAGCAGAATTCTAAAGATTTTTACCCTACCTGATATGTATCGTGTAAAATTCAGATTGCTCATTGTACCCCCACCCTAAATTTGACCAAATTTTGCTAATCATATTACTAATCATGGCTTCGCTGTTCTTGGGTGGAAGAATTCAAAAAAATGTTTTCCCTATGTATTTTGTTGTAGAACTCTCATTGTGGCCCCACCCTAAATTAGACAAAGGACAAGATGCGCTAAGACCCCTTTTAGGCCCCTTGTTTGGAGTGTCTTTTAGAATGATGCAACAGTTTACCAATAAAGACATGTAGTCACCCCTGCCACAAAAAGTGTATTTGTTCAAAGTTTTTGGATAAACAGAGGTCAAAGGAAGGTCAGAAAATATGTTAATTTCTAAATTTTCTTATTTTTATGCAAATTGTCATGGCTTTTACAGGCTTAAAATGATGTCAGAAAGGGCACTATTTTTGAAATTAACAAAAATAAGACAAAAATGGGCTTTTTCTTGACATTTTTATACCCTCCGCTTGAAAAGCGGGAGGGTATATAGCAATCGTTATCTGTCTCTGTGTCCATCAGTCCATCCTTCTATTACCCATTGGGGTTCCCATCTCTTATCCACAACTCCTCTCATACCACTGAATGAAATTTGATGAAACTTTCACAGATCCTTTATTACATATTGCCATTGTTCACCTCCTATTTTACTTTTTGATCCGACACATATTTTAGGTTTCCCATAGCAAAACATAGACACTGCCATTATATTTATATGGGAGGTGGGGGTATCATTTATTTCTTATGGGAAACATAAAACGCAGCTTGAACATTTTTCTGTCAGTAAATAGTCTTGCATAGCTGCTTAAAAATAATCAGTTTTATACAAAATATGCTAAAATGGCGGGAAAACTTGAACTTATTGGGATTATTAATATACTTACTGCTCTGAGGCTAAAATACATTTAGACAACATGGGATCAACAGGATATTCTGCCATCTTTCTTCCTAGTTTAGTCAATTCCCCTCGATGGTTCAGGGCACCAAGTGCATACAACTGCTCCAGTGCTAACACCAAAGTCTCGTGTGGAGGGGGATCCATGAAATCAAAGTGAATTAAGTCATTGATCCCCAAACTCTTCAGTAGTAACACAACATTTCCCAGGTTAGTCCTCTGAATTTCTGGCACAGTATTGTCCTCTAATTCATGTTTGTATGCCCAGGCTGTGTATAACCTGAAGCACTTCCCTGCTGAAACTCGACCAGCTCTTCCTGCTCTTTGATTAGATGAGGCCTGGAATCATCAATAGACTTCAGTAAAACAAACTTTTAACAAAAATATAAATATCGTATCAGTTTATCTTTTGAAATAACCTGTTTCATTATGATAAATTTGAAGGAGAAAAATAATTGAAAGGTTGTTTGATAAAATATTGTAACCTTGGATATTGGGGTAACTATCAGTGATTCCATTCCTGTTCTGGCATTATAGCTATTCTGTTTGCAAAACCCTGGATCAATCACATACTTTATTCCATCTATTGTGAGAGAAGTCTCAGCAATGTTTGTGGCCAAAACTACCTGTAAGTAATGATTATTTCAAGATTTTCATTCACATGCAGAATGTCAGTTTTTCTAACAAAAGGCCCAAGGAAGGTGTGAGTAAAATACAACCCTGAGTAGAGATTTTCAAAGAATTAATGAATTTTTTACTAAGTAATCAATAGATCACTGCCTTAACACCTAAATCCACAATTTTCTCCTAAAAGTCCAGGTCTTGGAGAACTGGCTTTATGAAATTGCAATGTTCTTGAATTTTAAGGTAAACAGGTGGAATAGCATGAGTACTTTCAGTGAAGAAAAATAATATCAGTGCACTCTCTGATCATGATTTTTTCAAGAGGTCTCAAACTTATTATAATCACATCAATGGTTTGAGTGTTTAATGTTTAGAAGGAAAGAAAATCTTTAAAGATTGCATTATTTTCTATGGATTTATTCCCACCCTTCACAGAGTGGGGGCTATGAAATTTACAAATTTTCTTCCCCTTCACCCATAGATGCTATATGGCATCATTATATTTATATATTAACAATTGCAAATGTTTCTCTTCATATAACACTACTGAAAGCAATGTGTATCTATAACTGTATAAATACAGGTTCCTTGAATGTCGTAAACGTTCAACATAATTTCTCTGTGACATCAATAAGGTACAACGCACAATCAATGGATTACAAACATGCCGCTGGGTTTAAAAAATAAAACATTTTGTGCATTAAAAGTCATAATCAGGCAAATATAAAATATGAGTAAGTCACAAATGTAAATATAAGTAATAAGGTATAATTTTAAAACATCTATGGGGCTATAAATACGGGTTGGTAACCCTTCGGGCTTCATGGAATTTGATCTCATGACCAACCAGTATTTATTTCCCGAAAGATGTTTAAAAATGATACCTTATTTCTTAAATATTATCAAACAAGAAACAGCATAAAAGGTGCTTAAACATAATTACCATTAAATAAGTACTTTTACAGTAATCTTGATACACACCTTTCTTCCACCTGGAGGAGTAGGTTCGAATATCTTGGCTTGCATGTCAGACGGAAGGTTGGCATAAATAGGAAGAATGATTAATTCCTTTATTTTACTTCCCAGCTTCTTGGTTCTTTCCTGTGTAAATAGTGTGAAATGAGCACAGAAATTTAATAATATACACAGCTTAAATGAATAACAATACTTTGTGGAGTTTGAAAGTTTGAATAAAATATTTCTTTTACAAAATGAAAGTCCTCCTCTTTAGCAATGATAGTAGATGTACATTAAGACACCAGTAACATTGAGCTCCTTTAGCAATGATAGTAGATGTACATTAAGACACCAGTACATTGAGCTCCTTTAGCAATGATAGTAGATGTACATTAAGACATCAGTGCTTGAGCGCCTTTAGCAATGATAGTAGATGTACATTAAGACACCAGTACATTGAGCTCCTTTAGCAATGATAGTAGATGTACATTAAGACACCAGTGCTTGAGCGCCTTTAGCAATGATAGTAGATGTACATTAAGACACCAGTACATTGAGCTCCTTTAGCAATGATAGTAGATGTACATTAAGACACCAGTACATTGAGCTCCTTTAGCAATGATAGTAGATGTTCATTAAGACACCAGTACATTGAGCTCCTTTAGCAATGATAGTAGATGTACATTAAGACACCAGTGCTTGAGCGCCTTTAGCAATGATAGTAGATGTACATTAAGACACCAGTACATTGAGCTCCTTTAGCAATGATAGTAGATGTTCATTAAGACACCAGTACATTGAGCTCCTTTAGCAATGATAGTAGATGTACATTAAGACACCAGTGCTTGAGCGCCTTTAGCAATGATATTAGAATGATAGTAGATGTTCATTAAGACACCAGTACATTGAGCTCCTTTAGCAATGATAGTAGATGTTCATTAAGACACCAGTACATTGAGCTCCTTTAGCAATGATAGTAGATGTACATTAAGACACCAGTACATTGAGCTCCTTTAGCAATGATAGTAGATGTACATTAAGACACCAGTACATTGAGCTCCTTTAGCAATGGTAGTAGATGTACATTAAGACACCAGTACATTGAGCTCCTTTAGCAATGATAGTAGATGTTCATTAAGACACCAGTACATTGAGCTCCTTTAGCAATGATAGTAGATGTTCATTAAGCTCCTTTAGCAATGATAGTAGATGTACATTAAGACACCAGTACATTGAGCTCCTTTAGCAATGATAGTAGATGTACATTAAGACACCAGTACATTGAGCTCCTTTAGCAATGATAGTAGATGTACATTAAGACACCAGTACATTGAGCGCCTTTAGCAATGATAGTAGATGTACATTAAGACACCAGTACATTGAGCTCCTTTAGCAATGATAGTAGATGTACATTAAGACACCAGTACATTGAGCTCCTTTAGCAATGATAGTAGATGTACATTAAGACACCAGTACATTGAGCTCCTTTAGCAATGATAGTAGATGTACATTAAGACACCAGTACATTGAGCTCCTTTAGCAATGATAGTAGATGTACATTAAGACACCAGTACATTGAGCTCCTTTAGCAATGATAGTAGATGTACATTAAGACACCAGTACTTGAGCTCCTTTAGCAATGATAGTAGATGTACATTAAGACACCAGTACATTGAGCTCCTTTAGCAATGATAGTAGATGTTCATTAAGACACCAGTACATTGAGCTCCTTTAGCAATGATAGTAGATGTACATTAAGACACCAGTACATTGAGCTCCTTTAGCAATGATAGTAGATGTACATTAAGACACCAGTACATTGAGCTCCTTTAGCAATGATAGTAGATGTACATTAAGACACCAGTACATTGAGCGCCTTTAGCAATGATAGTAGATGTACATTAAGACACCAGTACATTGAGCTCCTTTAGCAATGATAGTAGATGTACATTAAGACACCAGTAACATTGAGCTCATTTAGCAATGATAGTAGATGTACATTAAGACACCAGTACATTGAGCTCCTTTAGCAATGATAGTAGATGTACATTAAGACACCAGTGTTGATTTTAGCAATGAGTAGATGTACACACCAGTACATTGAGCTCCTTTAGCAATGATAGTAGATGTACATTAAGACACCAGTACATTGAGCTCCTTTAGCAATGATAGTAGATGTTCATTAAGACACCAGTACATTGAGCTCCTTTAGCAATGATAGTAGATGTACATTAAGACACCAGTACATTGAGCTCCTTTAGCAATGATAGTAGATGTACATTAAGACACCAGTACATTGAGCTCCTTTAGCAATGATAGTAGATGTACATTAAGACACCAGTACATTGAGCTCCTTTAGCAATGGTAGTAGATGTACATTAAGACACCAGTACATTGAGCTCCTTTAGCAATGATAGTAGATGTACATTAAGACACCAGTACATTGAGCTCCTTTAGCAATGATAGTAGATGTACATTAAGACACCAGTACATTGAGCTCCTTTAGCAATGATAGTAGATGTACATTAAGACACCAGTACATTGAGCTCCTTTAGCAATGGTAGTAGATGTACATTAAGACACCAGTACATTGAGCTCCTTTAGCAATGATAGTAGATGTACATTAAGACACCAGTACATTGAGCTCCTTTAGCAATGGTAGTAGATGTACATTAAGACACCAGTACATTGAGCTCCTTTAGCAATGGTAGTAGATGTACATTAAGACACCAGTACATTGAGTCCTTTAGCAATGATAGTAGATGTACATACACCAGTACATTGAGCTCCTTTAGCAATGGTAGTAGATGTACATTAAGACACCAGTAACATTGAGCTCCTTTAGCAATGATAGTAGATGTACATTAAGACACCAGTACATTGAGCTCCTTTAGCAATGGTAGTAGATGTACATTAAGACACCAGTACATTGAGCTCCTTTAGCAATGATAGTAGATGTACATTAAGACACCAGTACATTGAGCTCCTTTAGCAATGATAGTAGATGTACATTAAGACACCAGTACATTGAGCTCCTTTAGCAATGATAGTAGATGTTCATTAAGACACCAGTAACATTGAGCTCCTTTAGCAATGATAGTAGATGTACATTAAGACACCAGTACATTGAGCTCCTTTAGCAATGATAGTAGATGTACATTAAGACACCAGTACATTGAGCTCCTTTAGCAATGATAGTAGATGTACATTAAGACACCAGTACATTGAGCTCCTTTAGCAATGGTAGTAGATGTACATTAAGACACCAGTACATTGAGCTCCTTTAGCAATGATAGTAGATGTACATTAAGACACCAGTACATTGAGCTCCTTTAGCAATGATAGTAGATGTACATTAAGACACCAGTACATTGAGCTCCTTTAGCAATGATAGTAGATGTACATTAAGACACCAGTACATTGAGCTCCTTTAGCAATGATAGTAGATGTACATTAAGACACCAGTACATTGAGCTCCTTTAGCAATGATAGTAGATGTACATTAAGACACCAGTACATTGAGCTCCTTTAGCAATGATAGTAGATGTACATTAAGACACCAGTACATTGAGCTCCTTTAGCAATGATAGTAGATGTACATTAAGACACCAGTACATTGAGCTCCTTTAGCAATGATAGTAGATGTACATTAAGACACCAGTACATTGAGCTCCTTTAGCAATGATAGTAGATGTTCATACATTGAAGCAATGATAATAGATGTACATTAAGACACCAGTACATTGAGCTCCTTTAGCAATGATAGTAGATGTACATTAAGACACCAGTACATTGAGCTCCTTTAGCAATGATAGTAGATGTACATTAAGACACCAGTACATTGAGCTCCTTTAGCAATGATAGTAGATGTTCATTAAGACACCAGTACATTGAGCTCCTTTAGCAATGATAGTAGATGTTCATTAAGACACCAGTACATTGAGCTCCTTTAGCAATGATAGTAGATGTTCATTAAGACACCAGTACATTGAGCTCCTTTAGCAATGATAGTAGATGTACATTAAGACACCAGTACATTGAGCTCCTTTAGCAATGATAGTAGATGTTCATTAAGACACCAGTACATTGAGCTCCTTTAGCAATGATAGTAGATGTACATTAAGACACCAGTACATTGAGCTCCTTTAGCAATGATAGTAGATGTTCATTAAGACACCAGTACATTGAGCTCCTTTAGCAATGATAGTAGATGTTCATTAAGACACCAGTACATTGAGCTCCTTTAGCAATGATAGTAGATGTTCATTAAGACACCAGTACATTGAGCTCCTTTAGCAATGATAGTAGATGTACATTAAGACACCAGTACATTGAGCTCCTTTAGCAATGATAGTAGATGTACATTAAGACACCAGTACATTGAGCTCCTTTAGCAATGATAGTAGATGTACATTAAGACACCAGTCCATTGAGCTCCTTTAGCAATGATAGTAGATGTACATTAAGACACCAGTACATTGAGCTCCTTTAGCAATGATAGTAGATGTTCATTAAGACACCAGTACATTGAGCTCCTTTAGCAATGATAGTAGATGTACATTAAGACACCAGTACATTGAGCGCCTTTAGCAATGATAGTAGATGTTCATTAAGACACCAGTACATTGAGCTCCTTTAGCAATGATAATAGATGTACATTAAGACACCAGTACATTGAGCTCCTTTAGCAATGATAATAGATGTACATTAAGACACCATTGAGGTCCTGTCAATACTGAGGTGTGATGTGCATACCTGCAGCATTTCATTAGCTGTCTCGATCTCCTCCTGGCCGGTTAGGAATACTAGGATGTCCCCTGTGGGTTGTGTGACATGGATTTGTAACACAGATACAACAGCAGCATCCAAGTAGTCCGCCTCTGGAGCCTTGGTGTAGTAGATATCTACTGGAAATCTTCTGCCGGGGATACGGAAAATCGGGGCATCATCAAAGAACTGAAAGAAATCACAGTTGTTAACACACAAGACACAAATGGTACACTGGGTATACAAGTAAACTACAGGTTTTTTTAACATATGGCCAATTAAAGCACCTTCAGAACAATTTATAACTTGGTATAGACTCTAACATCTTTATGCCTCACCAGGAATATGGCCAGGGCAAACATAAATATGTAGTGTTTGTAATGTCCATCTTTCGTCCTTCCATTCTTACTGTTTATCTCAACTTTGAAGAAACTATTCAAGTTATTTCTATGTACCCTTACGCATTGATACCTCATTTGATAAGAATATACCATGTCCAATTTTAATTTACCTTGACCTTCCCAATAACCTTTGACTTTACTATTTTTGTGTATGAAACTCTTTTTTTAAGAAACTATTCAAGATATTTTCATTAATCTTCACACAACAATAAAAATTTTTATGTCGCATTACTAATGAAACCTGGGCCGGGCATTCATATTCTAAGGACATATTTCTAGTTTAAGGAATATTTTATCACTCTTTCATTTCTTTCAAGGTCATCAGATTTGTTCAGATAAGTACATGATAGTTTACTATAGTATAAAAGTTTTTACTATATTGATCAAAGTATAATTACTATGAATTTCAGATTGTTATAGTTTATGTTCTTCAATTCATACAAACATAATTTTGATATTAAATGGAAATATTATTAGTACAGACACAAGTTATTTCCAATTTTGACATTTCGGACTTTGCATTTAAGACATTTTAAGGTATTGAAATCTTTTAAAAGTTCTAATGTAAAGTTTCAAAGAACCTGTAAGCAAATTATTTACTATAGTATAAAATTATACTTAACAATAGTAAATTTTTGATAGGGGGCATTAAATGGTAATTTGTGTACCTCTGAAAATTTTTCTGCATCCAGAGTGGCACTGGAAATGAGGAGCTTTAAATCTGGTCTAAATCTGGCAATGTCTTTGACCAAACCAAACAATACATCTGTGTGAAGGGTCCTTTCATGTGCCTCATCAATTATCATTACACTGTAAATATTAAATCAACAACTTAAATAATCTAAAACAAAACTAAACAAGAGGCCCAGGGGCCACATCGCTCACCTGAGCAATTGGCTAGGAAAAAGCACAGATCAGATCAGAACTGAAAGTAAACAGGGGGGGGGCACACTTGAATTTTACATCCCCCCAAGGGGTCATGATTTGAACAAACTTGAATCTACACTACGTGAGGATGATTCCCTATAAATATAACAAAGCCTGGCTTTGAAGTACTTGAAAAGAAGAATTTAAAAGGTTTCCCTATATGTTCCTATGTAAAACTTTGATCGGCCATTTTGGCCCCACCCTACCCCTGGGGGTCATGATTTGAACAAACTTGAATCTACACTACCTGAGGATGATCCCACATGAGTTTCATCTTTCCTGGCCAAGTGGTTCTTGAGAAGAAGATCTTTAAAGTTTTTTCCTATATATTCCTATGTAAAATTTTGATCGGCCATTTTGGCCCCACCCTACCCCTGGGGGTCATGATTTGAACAAACTTGAATCTACACTACCTGAGGATGATCCCACATGAGTTTCATCTTTCCTGGCCCAGTGGTACTTGAGAAGAAGATTTTTAAAGATTTTTCCTATATATTCCTATGTAAAACTTTGATCGGCCATTTTGGCCCCACCCTACCCCCGGGGGTCATGATTTGAACAAATTTGAATCTACACTACCTGAGGATGACTCCACATGAGTTTCATCTTTCCTGGACCAGTATTTCTTGAGAAGAAGATTTTTTAAAAATGCCATTAATTTTTCTCTAATTCATAATTATCTCCCCTTGGAAAAGGGCCTGGCCCTTCATTTGAATAAACTTGAATCCCCTTCACCCAAGGATACTTTGTACCAAGTTTGGTTGAAATTGGCCCAGTGGTTCTTGAGAAGAAGATGAAAATGTGAAAAGTTTACGACGACAACAACGCCGACAACAACGACGACAACAACACCGACAGACAACGGACAAATTTTGATCAGAAAAGCTCACTTGAGCCTTCGGCTCAGGTGAGCTAACAATTAGCAAATTTAAATAACAAAACATATTAAATTAAATGAAATAAAGGCAGATTAAAGTCATATGACACATCCTCCGGTTGCTTCAAAAATTTTTCAGTGCTTCTCCACTAAAATTATGGTCTGGTAATCATTGTATGAATAGACTGACAGGCATATGAAAATGAACAGATGGACATGGTTATTTCAGTATACCTCCCCAAATATTAATGAAAAACTGTAAAGGGTCCACTGAATGTGAAACAAAAACTGATATGTGAAGAAATATTGGCCAAAATCATAAGAAATATAATGATAATCAGTGAATAGCAAGATAGCACTCGGTATTAAAATCCAATTACACTGTAAGCAATTTTTTTTTGTTCCCTATACTTTCCAGTGCTACAACACTAATGCATCATCACTATTAATTAATACAGCCCCACCCTTCCATCGAAACTATGTCAACAGGGATAAATCTAGGTTTTGGGAGGAAACCATACCCTTTCTGGAGAAATTGGGAAAATCATCCAGGGTTCTTGGGGTCACTGTAGGCCCCCAGGGTTCAGGGGAGCCCTGCTGGTGGGTTCAATTGAATTTCAGCATTTTTAGGACCATTTAGAGTGTATAAAATAGCAAAGTTTCTGAAATTTTTTTACTGTTCATTTCAATTTTTAATTATTGTTAAAGGGAATTTTTTTCAAAAGAAAAAAAAAGAATATTTAGGGGAAATTTTCTCATGGGGAAAAATACCAAATATCAGTAGTAAATATGCCCTAGATTAATCCCTGGTCAAGTTTGGTAGAAATTGCTCAGTGATTCTGGAGAAAAAGATGAAAATGAAAAAAGTTAAGGATAATGCAGACACAACTGGCAACAGACAAAATTTTATCAGAAAAGCTCACTGCCCAATAAAAGAGTACACTTTCAAACAATCTGAATGAAACATTTGCTCATTACAAAATATAAAAAGAAAAATTGATTCCTTCAAAATCTTGAGATTTAGTATCAATCTAAGATATGATTATATTACAACAATCTTAGGCCAACTACAACAGGTATTTGTAAGTATTCAATGAAGTTTGAGATTCTTTATTTCCATGGAGGATATATCTAAACGTAAACCTTTGGGACTGAGAATCACCAGTTTTCTTGAATATGAATATATAATGTAATGTTGGTTTATTGGATAAAAGATGCAATTCCTATTGTAAAACATACATGTATGAAGTTCCCTATGTCTTGCATCAAAAGTGTTTTAATATGCTCAATTTGAAGCTGTTTTCAAAGGAAAAATTGTAGTATTGTTTACACTGTATGATAAAACATCAAATTATAAAGAATGATTTTAATATCTACACAAGTAAAACAGGTATAAAATGGGTCGGAAATTTTGAGCTTTTTTATCAACAGCAAAGCCGTTTATAAAATGTTAACTGCCCCTAACCCATGTTATACAGTATAACTTGGGTAGCTATTAGATTGTATCCTTAAGTATACATAATTATACAGAATCAGATATAGAAGACAGAAAAATCACTATTTCAGATGTGACATATACCTGTAACTTGCCAGATCTGGTTCTCCCAAAAACTCACGAAGAAGCATACCATCTGTCATGTACTTAATCATGGTCCTCTCCGACGTACAGTCTTCAAATCGGATGCTGTAGCCTACCTGTTAAGTTTATCAAGTCATGTTTTTGAAAGGCTGTTTTTTTTTGTATTTGAGTTCAATATCTAAACCAAGAAGCTCAAGGGATACAATGCTTGACTGATTTTTAGATTTCTTCCCTTGTCTTTTTTCTCATGAAAAATTTTGATCCCCATGGTGACTTCGTAGGAGTATAGACCAAATCAAACTTGCATTCACAAAAAGGAATGCTTCAATATCATAAAGACTACCAAAGCTGGTTTGTCTGTTTTGCAAATTAAAATTTTTCAAAGATTTGTTTTACTCAGAAAAGCTCTCTTGAGCCTTCAGTTTAGGTGAGCTAAAAAACTAAACATATGAAGTAAAAAATATGTCACTGATACCATATTACAATATACAAATTTTGATATTAGATGAAATTCACTTGAGTCTATAGATCATGTGAGCTAAAAATGTTGCATCCATTTGTGGCACCCTTTTCTTACAGAGTACAGATATTTACCTCATTACCAAGTTTGAAGCCCATCTCTTCTGCTACTCTTGCTGCTACAGACATGGCAGCCACACGACGTGGTTGGGTACATCCAATTTTCATGCCATTTTTTGTAAACCCCTGACAACCGAAATTTTAAGTATTAATGTAATAGATGTATGAGTATGCTTACAAAATAATTCCTCTAATAAACTTCCCTATTCCCCCATGACATAGGAAAAGCAAATGGTAAAAATCAGCCTATGTGATATTGCTGATTTTTTGTCATTTTGTTTTACCTCATAAAATTCACCTGGCTTGGTATATTTTTCTAAAGTTTATATTACACCTTGAGCACCAAGCTAACATATTCTGAAATTTGTTTTCACCTGTAAACCTTTACTGAGTGAGATTTGTCTATATTTGATATTTTATTGAAATATTACTAATATTTTCAAAGTCTATTTCATATTCCAGTTCTTAGGAGAAAAAATTCTAAGAGTTATCCACTTTTCTAAACCTGTGACATGATGTTAAGTCTCCTCAAAGAAAATAAAATATCATCTGTCATCTATCATCTGTCCTTAAACAGTAAATAATATAAGACGGACTAGACAATTACCCGCAAAATTTCAATCCAAAGAACCTCATAAACTTCTAAAATCAAGTTATTAATAGATGTATAAATGCTAAATTTTCAACATTCAAGTTTTTTTTCAACTACTTACAACTATTTTAAACAGAATACCATGATTCTAACCAAGTAGTCAATTACAAACTGCCTTTACTAGTTTAAATACAAAACCTACTGCTTGATGCAGATACTGGGGTATCTGTGTCGTTTTGCCTGATCCAGTCTCCCCTTCTATGATGAGGACTTGGTGTTCATGTATGGCATCAATCAAGTCTTGTTTGAAAGGATAAACAGGCAAACTCTTCTGGGTTTCCTCTATAGTCATTTTCTTTCTTTGGGCATCTGTAAGTTCCTCATCCTACAAAAACCAAAAAAAAAAAAAGATATCTAAACAATTTGGAATAATTTCATATAAAATAAAAACTAGACCTGTCTTAATATGACAAATACGCTTGTTGGGACAACATTAAAGTGCATACCTTAAAATAGTTTACATGGAAATCTGTCACCTTGTACCCGGTAATACGATTATACTTCAAATTCTTGCTGAATTACAAGAACTAAAAGTAATGAGTCTTACAATATTTTACCTTGATTGATGTGACCTTATACAAAACAAGAGGCCCAGGGGCCACATTGCTCACCTGAACAAATGGATAGCTAAAAGTAAAAATCAGTTCAGTATTGAAAAGTTTAAATATAAAAAGTGGGTTCAGTGGAGCGGAGGGGTATTAGAACAAATTTAAATCTACACATTCTAAGGATGCTTTTGAATTAATATGACACATTATGGCTTTGCTGTTTATAAGATGATATTGTTTATTGATATAAGCTTTGTATTACTTTGTTATGATCCACTCTAATGGCTCCTCTATTCTCCTGATTGGTCATGATTTGAACAAATTTAAATCTACATTACCTTTTTTGATGCTTTTATATTAATGACCAATCATAGCTTGTTGTTCTTGTGAAAAATTTTAAGAATTTTTCCCATGTTCTCCTACGAAAAACCTTGATCACCCATTGTGACCCCACACTACCCCTGCGGGTCATGATTCAAACAAACCTGAATCTGCTCCTACCCGAGGATGCTTTCATATAAATATGACCAATCACAGCTTTGCTGTTCTTGTGAAGAACAATTTTAAAGATTTTTTCTATGAAATCCTACTTTAAACTTTGATCACCCATAATGGCCCTACCCTACCTGCAGGGGTCATGATTTGAACAAACTTTAATGTACACTACCAAAGGGTGCTTCCATATAACTTTGACCAATCATGGCTTTGCTGTTCTTGCAATCTGTTCTTGAGAAGATTTTTAAAGATTCCTCCTATGTATTCTTATGTTGAACTTTGATCCCTATTGTGGCCCCATCCTACCCTCGTGTGTCATGACTTGATCCATCTTGAATCTTGACTACCACAGGATGCTTCTACATGAGTTTCATCTTTCCTGGCCTAGTGGTTCTTAAGAAGCAGATTTTTAAAATTGTTCCTATGTATTCCTATACTAAATTTTAAACCCCATTGTGGACCATCTCTACCCCCCAAGGATCATGATTTGAACAAATTTAATCTACACTACCAGAGAATGCTTCCACATAACTATGATCAATCATGGCTTTGCTGTTCTTGAGAAGAAAATTGTTATAAGATTTCTCCTAATACGTATTTTTATGGTAAACTTTGATCCCCATTGTGGGCCCACCCAACCCCCATGGGTCATGATTTGATCAAACTTGAATCTTCACTACCAGAGGATAACCCTAAATTAGTTTCATCTTTCCTGGCCTAGTGGTTCTTGAGAAGATTTTTAAAGATTTTTCCTATGTATTCCTATATTAAACTTTGATCTCCCATTGTGGCCCCACCCTACTCCCTAGGAGTAATGATATAAATAAACTTGAATAAATATTATCAAAGGATGTATGCTTCTACAAGAATTTCATCTTTCTTTGCTCAGCGGTTCTTGAGATTGAAAAAAATTTTTTTATGTATTCCTATGTTAAATTTTGATCCCCCATTGTGGATCCATTCTAGGCCCAGGGATCATGATTTGAAGAAATTTGAATTAACTCTACATGAGGATGTTTCTACATGAGTTACATCTTTACTGGCCCAGTGATTCTTATTTGTAAAAGATGCCATTAATATTTCAGTAATTCATAATTATCTCCCCTTGGAAGAGGGTGTTGCTCTTCATTTTAACAAAGTTGAATCCCCATTGCTTAAGAATGCTTCGTGGCAAGTTTAGTTGAAATTGGCCCTGTGGTTCTTGAAAAGAAGATGAAAATGTGAAACAATGATGACGACGACAACAGACAAATTTTGATTAGAAAAGCTCATTTGAGCCTTAAATTGGCTCAGGTGAGCTAAACAGCATGCATTCTCACTATATGATTTACAGAGCCCTATCCTAAAGTTAGCTGGTTAATCAGCAAACAGTGCTAATATCTGTAAGCAAAACTGCTACTTGGTCAAACTGACAAAAGTGAAGGGAAATGTTATATAAAATATTATATCATTTTATTTCAAATACAGATAAATGTATTTCAACAAAAAAAACCCAGACTTTTTTAAATTACAGTTGGTTTTTCAAACCTGATCTAATACGCAAGTTTCGAGATTATCTCCCTTGGTGCGCTCTTTCGTTGAGGAGGGGAGTTTCGTTGCCACGTAAACAAACAGGTGGGACAGATATTTATATATTGGATACATTGCATCATAGGTATACTGGTTTATCATAACTACGTGATTGTTGGGATGCACTCTTCAACTGGAGAATAATCGAATTAATGTAAAGGCGTCATTTTTAAAGGGAAGAAAACGTAACAAAAAAGAAAATATCAGTGGATGTGAGACTTTTCAGACAAGGGAAGAGATATGGACCTCTAATAAATACGGTACAATGCATCTGATCATTGCACGTCTGCAATCTAAATGACATATTGATTCTTTTATTTCCTTATTACAACTTCAAAAAACCCACTAACTTTTTAGAAAGTGTTTGCACAATCAAGAAAATCAATTACGTTTTTTAAAGACTACGACGTTTCTTTTGTTTTTAAGTACCCTATAATTGAAAGTAGATTTGTAAATATGCATAGCTGAGCTTGATAAACTCATCAAATACATCACTGCTTAACATTATTATCTTTCTATCACATTTAATAAATTTTTAAAGTCATAAATATCGTTCATTTATTTATGCACGTTTGTATACAGAAACAACCTGTCCCACGTCCATGCTGAAATGTATACTTTTTGCGCCTCTATCGTAGGAGAGTTACAATCTCGAAACTCGTGTATTGACGATCTATAGATACAATGTAATGTTCATCTTGGTGTCTACAGAATTACAAACCTGATCTTTTCTAGTCCCTGGCATTTGTAACACTTGCACAAACTCAATTTCCTCATCCATAATAAAGTCATATTCCTTTTGTTTGCTTTTGGCCTTGGCATCTTTTGCCCCAAACCTGTTTTCAAAAAATGTAAGCATACCTTATAAACACTAATAGAAATGACCTGTTTACTTCACAATTATAAAGAAATATTAATCTTGGTAAGAGTTTTGTTTCCTATCAGAGGGTAAGTGCACCTTAAACTGATGATAGCAGAGATAATATCATTAAAATGAACGTACTTCATAATAGCTGCTCCTACATGCTCCTCTTCCCAGCGTTTCTGTTCATAATTGGGGCCCTTCTCTGTAAGATCTTCCTCATATTTATCGGACGGCTTTACGTCATCTTTTGGCATATAATACCGATTCACCTTCTCTATCTCACGAGCTTTGTGGTGATCTTTAGCTAATGATAGGACTGTCTTCTTATATTCTCTTTCTCTTTTTTCTCTTTCTGTAAGTCTAGAGATAATTTAAAAGTGACATTTATCAAGTAAGACGACAATAATCAGTCTTAATTTTCTAAATTGTGAAGGAATAAAGTAGTGTTCCAGGTATAAGACTAGTATGGATCACCAACTTCCATTAGTCAGACTCCTATTTCAAATACTGTAAAATATTACATTTAGCAGTGTATTCTATTTAGCGATTTTGGCAGAAAGCAGTGTCTGCAAGTTCAAGTACATCGCTAAATGTCTTGCATATCATACATTTACAACTAGCACATTCAGATAGTGCTAAATCAAATGTACGCTAACATGTTGAAAGTTTCATTTCCCCTAAATATTGTACACGCCAAATGTAATACATTTACAGTATATGTACAGTTTTTCTGTCAAGAAATTTTGAAAAATCATTTTAAATAAAAATTTCAATAAAGCTTGAAGTGTTAAAACAGTTTGGTTAAAACATGTAATATCAGCTGATACTGCACTAAGTCAAGTTGGGCACTTTAGAAAGGGGTTTCTCTTTTTAATATTGCAGATTTAGCTCTGGTGAGCTACAAGTCTTACTTTGTGTGTCCAAATAAGTACTCCTCGTCTACAAGTCTTATGCCCTGTTCACACGGAGAGTTTAATTTCGAATTAAATGTAAAGTTACTGCGAATTAGCTTCGCTTAGTGTTCACACGGAGAATTTAATGCGAATTAGTTTAACTGGAATTAGTTAACTGCTCATTGAATAACTTCGCATTAGCTCTGTGTGAACGCAAAGGGAAGCTAATTCGAATTCAATTCTGACACAAGCGTAATGGCAAAATTTAGTCAAATACCACCTGTCGATGGTCAGCTATAGGTACTTGTGCTTTTTTTGAGTGAAAAACTAAGGAAAATTTTGTTAGTCATTAAAATGTGTGTACAGACACTGTGACATTATGTCAAATGGATTTGCTTCTGCAGAAGGTGACGTGATTTGCAAATGACGTCATAATAGCCGTGTTAACGCCGGGCTGCAGAAGTAAAATTTTAATTCGCGTTAGTTTACTTCGCATTAGCTGTCGTGTGAACACAATTTAATTCACATTAGTTTGATTCGCATTAGTTTACTTCGCATTAATTTACTGGGAATTAAACTCTCCGTGTGAACAGGGCATTACTTTGTGTTGCCCAATAAGTACTCCTTGTCTACAAGTCTTACTTTGTGTCTCCAAATAAGTACTCCTCATCTACAAGTCTTACTTTGTGTCTCCAAATAAGTACTCCTCATCCATCAGTTCTGCTTCCAGGTCCTCTAGCTTGTCTACATTCCTCTTTGCCAGATAAGTCCTTCTAGACTTCTTCCTTAACTCAGGAATGATCTTCTTCCTATCTTCTGCCTCCATCTCAAGCCTCTTCCTGGCTTCTTCATAAGCCTGAATAAATACAGTGCAAAACATAGATGCTATATGCCAAAATGGAATAAAATTGGTTCAGTGATCTGGTTCAGTGATACTAGTGAAGAAGCTGAAAAATATTCAAATTTTAATGTCCAACAGATGACACATGAAGACAGACCAAAACTAGAGGTACTGTGAGCAATGAGCTCACTAAATGATACCCCCCGCCTCCCATAATGTCCATGTGTTGCTATATATTGTTTTACGGTAATGTGTAAAGAGGAATAACTCGTCCTATGAAATGATCCAGAAGCTTCTATAGGTAAACATGTAATGGCAATGTCCATGTTTTGCTATGGAAAACCTAACATACGTGTCGAATAAAAAAGTAAAATAGGAGGTGCACAATGGCAATATATAATAGAGATTCTGTGAAAGTTTCATTAAATTTCACTCAGTAGTATAAGAGGAGTTGCGGATAAGAGATAAAGTGTAACAGACGGACGGACGGACGTACAGACGGACGGACGGACGGACGGAAATCCCGATCACTATATACCCTCCCACTTTTCAAGCGGGGGGTATAACAAATAGCAATAGTTCACCTGAGCAACCTAATTATACCTATTAGATACTTTTGTTTTAAAGGTTTCCTGGCATATAAAACCTCAAATGTTTGAAACAGTCCTTTTCTTCCTGAAGCATCCAAGGTTTTGATATAGTGGCCTCAAATAATTTCACTGCTTCTTGTATTAATGAGAACCCTTCATGCCGAAATGTACCCTACTTAGGAATTGTTTTGAAAATAAGAGGACTAGACTTATATATAACTCATTCTTCAATACTGGTGAATTTTTAAAACATATTTTTTTTTGTCCTTTATTTTCCAATAAACTAGAGGTACTGTGAGCGATGAGCTCACTAAATGATACCCCCCGCCTCCCATATGGTTATAACTGGTGAAAAAGTCCATGTTTTCCTGTGGCCGGGAAACCCAAAATATGTGTCGGATCAAAAAGTAAAATAGGAGGTGCACAATGGCAATATGTAATAAAGATTCTGTGAAAGTTGCATCAAATTTCATTGAGTGGTATGAGAGGAGTTGCGGATAAGAGATGGGTACCCCAAAGCGTAACAGACGGACGGACGGACAGACAGAAGGATGGACGGACGGACAGAGGTACAGACGGACGGAATTAACGATTACTATATACCCTCCCGCTTTTCAAGCGGGGGGTATAATAATGTGTAAGCAGATAGATTGATATTGATATGATTTGATACTTGTGCAAGGATATAGTATAAATAGTTTTATGGATATGAGTTGAGGAATAAAAAAATATTGATCATTGTTGTATTGCATTTAGGGGATTTCAATTGCAGAAAATGTGACATAATTTTTGAATAGGCATAAAGATGTTGTTTTATTTAAAAATAAAATCATTTGGCATGATATACGTGTACATTATCTTAGCATATAAATGAAATAATATATTTATTTTGTCAAACATGATAAAATTATCCTAATTATTTTTTTCTTAACTTAAAAATTTGTGGTTTATGTTCGTAACGCATGGTGTCCATATGCATTGAACTTTTTAACACCTCTCTACAAACATTAAATAATTTGTCAAGTTCAATTTCTGTGTTTAATTAATGAGTATGTGTGATAAATTATTTTTAACAATATGCTTCATGAACATAACTCAGTTCTTTTTGTAATTTTAAAATGATCTCTGATTGTAAAATGTTTGGTGTCTTGACCGTTATGAACATAATAGCTTTCAGTATGATTGCTAAAATAACAGCCAATGAATCATAAGTTTGGCTCAGGAAGTCCGTAGCAGTGGTATAATTATAAATTGAAAACGAAAGTAGAAAGGCTGCGCAGCTGTCTGCTAAAAAACATGGCGATGCTCATTGTGTCCATGTGGAAAACAAGAAGTTACGTACATAATAGATTCGGTAAGTATTTTTATATTGTATCAATTTTAGTGAATGTTTAACACATAGATTCAGTCATTGTATCTTTATACCATGTAGCTATTAATCGGAAACTAAAATATGTCGCTTATGACAATACAAAATGCATAAATCTGTCCGAGTCGAGTACTTTCGGTTTAACATTTGACTTTTGATTCGCGTCTTTTGTTACGAACATAAGTGTTTTTGCATTATTTGTATAATCTATTAATGATAAAGTTATATTGTACTATATTTTATTCTATATTTGCTAGTTTTGTTCTGTTCTTATCAAAGGATGAATACTTATTGAATATTTGTTTTAATATTGCCATATGATTCACGCAATTACGTTCGTAACAGAGACACGAAAACTTGAAGTAGTGACATAATTTGTACTTTAATTGCCTTCTTTCTGATTTTATCAAGGATATATAATAAATATTATTAAACAGCATATGTGTTGATTACATCATGTTGTATTTTGTTATATATATATTTTTTTCTTTCAGATTTACAAGAAATGACTGAATTATGTTCGTAACAATGACACAAAGATCCAAGACTCAAAAAAGAAGACCTAGGATATTTAGCAATCCATCTGACAATTTACTTGTCTGCATTAATTCTCTTTGAAAGCTAGTCTATTATTAAGCTTTGAAATGAAGTATTAAAAGTATTAAAGACAAGTGTTCGATTGTCTTGTTATATTTTTGTTCATTTTTGAAGCCTGATTCGGAGTTAGGTGTCCATGTTACTTACATAATTTCTCCTTTTTTGAAAGTAGAAATAAATTTGTGACTTTTTAAATAAATTCCATTTAATATAACATTAAACATGATATCATCATACCTTATTGATTACATTATTTTCATATTTTAACAACTTCTTAAATTCTAGTAATATGTTACTTGTTTAGTGCTTATGTAAGTAACGGTGTCCATTGGTAATCTTGGATATATTTTCTAATTATAATGGAATAAGACAGAAATAAGTCATGCAATAAAACATGCAAACTAGTGTTTATATACTTCAAAAAGGATTCACCAGAAAAGAATAGCTTATTGATTTAAAAAAACAGTCACTGTGTACACCAAGTTACGTACATAAAATTTCAGACATGCTTGTACATTTTGCTTGTACATGATAAACAAATGTTGTATATGATGACGATGAAGCTACACCTATCTCCTCTTTAAGACTTCAGATTATCTTCCCGTCAGTTTTTTTCAGAAGCAGGAAGGGTACTGACTCAAATAATATGCATAAATCATGAAACTGATTATTTTTAAAAAATAGCCCTTTGGTCACACATCTGAACTCAGTACTGAAGAATGAGTTATTTACTAATTCATCATCTGTTGACTTTGAATGCGGTACTTATACATGTATCTGATTTTTCTACTTTTTCCTTCTCAGATAGTTGTTTGATGGGAGTGTTTGGCTTCATAGTTTTCAGTTATGGTCTAGTCAAAGCAAAAACCCAACAGATAGGCAGACAGATGCACAGATGACAAAGTCAATACCATAAAATGTCTTCCCAAAAGTCAAATGTTGAAAAAATGCTACAAACCATAATCCTACAGAAGTGTCTTGCATCAGTCCTTACCTTTTTCTCTGATTTAGACATGATGGATCTTTGTTTCTCTTTATCCTTCTCTTTCAAACGATTGGCAAACTTGTCTCTCTCATCTAAATCCTTGAGGCGTTCCTTCTCCATTTCTTCCTCTGAATCATCATCAGTTTCATCTCTGTCATCGTCTCTATCTAGACTTAAGTATAACATTTGGAAACTCCATATCAAATATTTGATCAATGTTATTATTGTAAGGCAACTTTTTATAAGGAAATGGCTCAAAAAATATGCCATGTAACGAGATAAAAAATAAATAAAATGTATGTAGAATTGTACATGAATGTGTTGAAATATAATACAATCTGTACACCATCTTTGCAGATTAAGTTGTTTCTGATCTGCTACTCTTCTCATAAACCCTTGGTCTATTATTCCTATCCCCAAAATGTAAAATCATTATATGATCTCTATAATCACAACATTAATAGAAATAAATTAAGCATTTCTAAAAACTGAATTATTTAAAAGATTAGTCCACATGCAGTTATCTAGCAAAAGTAAATTTATTACTTAGGGTGCCAGTCTGTATCTGCTATATAGGTATGTGCACATAAATTTATAAAAGAGTCAAAAACAATTGTGAATTTATCCTCATTGTGTAAAACTTTACAATAAATTAGCGGATTAGTTTAACTAAATCAACGAGAGGACCATGGTTGCCTGAGTATCATGTAACAACTTTTCAGCAATTGAACTTGGGTTCTTGTTATGAACCAAAAGCCATAAAATTCACAATTTTGAAAGAGGCATCATTGTTTATCATAATTATACTTATGCTTACTTTGGTTACTTAATACCCAGAGGTAGATCACAGTAACAAAGATAAAATGCATTTCAACTTTATAACCACCAGGTGTGCACCTCGTCTCACAAGAACCCACTGACCCGACCCTGGGGCCACATAATTCAAAATTTTGAAAAATTTTATCATAAATTTTATTTCATCATCAACGTTTGATTAATATACCAAAAAGCAGATTTCAAAGCATTAATTAATTTTCAGACTAAGTATCCCCCTCCCAGATACCCCTTACCCAGAGGCCCTAAAATTAATCTTTTTGAAAGAGGCACCTTTCTTCATCAGAAATATATACAAAGATCACTGGCATAATACTCAGGAGCAAAGGAAAAGATTTTCAAATAATTCATGCATTTTCACTATATAATCATTAGATCCCCGTCCTAACACCAGAACCCCTGACCAGGGGCCCTGAAATTAAAAAAAATTGGAAGAAGCATCTTTCCTCACTATAACTATGTACTGTACATAGTTCATTGGTTTAATACCCAGGAGCAAAGGAAAAGACTTTTAAAAGAATTCATGCATTTTCACTACCTGGTATTTAATCAATAGAGTCCCGCCCTAACACCAGAGTCCCTGACCCCAGGGGCCATAAAATTCACAATTTTGGAAGAGGCAGCCTTTTTCAACATTACCATGTACTTGGAAAGTTTATTAAATACCCAGGAGCAGAGAAGAAGATTTTAAAAGAATAAATGTATTTTCACTATATTATCAATAGAGCCTGGCCCTAACACCAGAACCTCTGATCCAAGGGCCATGAAATTCACAAATTTGGAAGACATTCTTGGTCATCATAACTTTGTACTTAATGGTTAATTTATTTCATACCCAGGAGCAGAAAAGAAGATTTTCTAAGAATTTATGCATAACACCAAAACCCCTGACCTTGGGGCCATGAAATTCACTATTTTTGGAAGAGGCAGCATTATTCAACAAAACTGTGTACTTGGTTAGGTTATCTAATGCCCAGGAGCACAGAAGAAGATTTTCAAAGAAATAATGCATTTTCACTATATAATCTATATAGCCCCGCCAAAGCACTAGAATCCCTGACCCATGGGGCCATGAATTTTACCATTTTGGTAGAGGACTCAATACTGCTTTTGGCCCCACCCCTCAGGCTCCATAAAGGCAGTGATCATAAAATTCACAATTTTGGATCCCCTTTACCCATAGAGGCTTTGTTCCAAAATTGGTTAAAATTGGTTGAGTGGTTGCAGAGAAGCTGAAAATGTTCAAATATTAATGGATGATGCACAACGGATGAAAACAGATAGTCAATTCTAATTCCAATCACACCTTGAAAGAAAAAAATCGCAACTTAAGATATATAGCACAATAGGCTATAAGTCTGTAAGAAGAATAGTGGATCAGAAACACTTAGCTAACAAAGATGCTTGTCTATTAATTTTTAATGGAATCAGACTAAACAAGATGTGTTTGTGAAACACTATGCGCCCGGTGGCAACAAAGTTGAAAAAAAAAATTTTAGCATATAGGTCACAGTCAAGGTCACAAGGTCATTGATTTTGGTGTCATGTGAAAGAACTTGATTAGTGAAGTAAACATACCAAATATGAAGTCTCTATCTCGCATGATTCAAAAGTTATGGTGAAGCTTCAAAAAAGCTATTTTTAGCATATAGGACAAAGTCAAGGTCACAAGGTCATTGACCTTGGTGTCATGTGAAAGAACTTGATTAGTGAAGTATGCATACAAAATATGAAGTCTCTATCTCTCATGGTTCAAAAGTTATGGTGAAGGTTTAACAAAGCTATTTTTAGCATATAGACAGTTTAGACACAGTCAAGGTCACAAGGTCATTGATCTTGATGTCATGTGAAAGAACTTGATTAGTGAAGTATGCATACCAAATATGAAGTCTCTATCTCTCATGGTTCAAAAGTTATGGTGAAGGTTTAGCAAAGCTATTTTTAGCATATAGACACAGTCAAGGTCACAAGGTCATTGATCTTGATGTCATGTGAAAGAACTTGATTAGTGAAGCATGCAAACCAAATATGAAGTCTCTATCTCTCATGGTTCAAAAGTTATGGTGAAGGTTCAAAAAAGCTATTTTTAGCATATAGACACAGTCAAGGTCACAAGGTCATTGACTTTGATGTCATGTGAAAAGGGCCTTATTAGTGGAGAATGCATGCCAAAAATGAAGTCTCTATCTTTCTTCGTTCAAAAGTTATGGCAAAGGTTAAAGTTTGCAGAAAAAAAAGCTATATTTAGCATATAGTCACGATCACAAGGTGACCAATAAATCATGGTGTCATTTAACCCCTTCCATGGCAAAGATTTTAAGCATTTCTAGACAAACTGGTATTAAGATTTCAATGCATTTTTTTGAGTATTTCTTGTAATTTTTGTATATCCCAATGTATATATATTCTGACAGCAGGTATTGTGTAGTTACTGAAAATGATTATAAAAATATCATTTCAGTTGCCATGTCAACAAAATACACCATAATCATGCTGGAATTTCCATAACATAACCTGTTACCCCTGTATTGATTTTGATAATGGCGAAATCGCTCAAATAGTGCACAAAGTTTAACTCAAGCCAGCAAAAAACTGGTACAACCAATAAAAAAAATTCTGTATATTATTTTATCGTAATCATTTTCTCTTTCCAAGGGTGCAAGATTTATTCTGATATTTGCAGTATTAACAAAGTTATGAATGTTCTTTCACACTATACTCGTTTTTCAAGTCAGATGCGTAGAAAGGCGTATATGCCATGTAGGGGGTTAAAAGAGCTTAATCAGTGGTGTAAGCATACCAAATATGAAGTCTCTATCTTTCTTCGTTCAAAAGTTATGGCAAAGGTTAAAGTTTGCAGAAAAAACTATTTTTAGCATATAGGTCACATGCAAGTTCACAAGATCATTGACCTTTGTGTCATTTGAAAGAGCTTAATTAGTGGAGTATACATACCAAATATGAAGTCTCTTTCATTCATGGTTCAAAAGTTATGGCGAAGGTTAAAGTTAGCAGACAAACAAACAAACAAACAGACAGACAGACAGACAGGACAAAAACAATATACGCCTCAGATCTTTTGATCCGGGCGCATAAAAAATCGCATTTTTTCGTGGGATTTAATTTTCGTGGTTTGAGGAAAAAATGTTGGTTCATGGGAATTTGATTTCATGGATGAAGAACTTTTTAGTAGTTGTGCATATGAAAATTTATATTTCATGGTGGGCATGAATTCGAGGGTCTCTGCATTCCTCAAAAAAAATGAAAATTAAACCCCCATGAAAATTAGTTATTTCACAGTATCTTCCTCACTAATACTACTTACTCCTCATATCTTCCTCACTAATACTTCTTTCTTTTCATCTCTTCCTCACTAGTACTACATGTACTTACTTCTTATCTCTCCCTCACTAATATTATTTTCTTCTTATCTTTTTCTCACTAGTACTACTTACTTCTCATCTCTTCCTCAATAATGCTACTTACTTCTTCTCTCTTCCTCATTAATACTACTAAATCCTCATCTGTTCCTCACTTATACTACTTACTTCTTATCTCTTCCTCCCTAATACTACTTTCTTCTAATATCTTCCTTACTTATACTACTTACTTCTCTACTCTTCCTAAATAATGCTACATACTTCTTCTCTCTTCCTCACTAATACTACTGAATCCTCATCTTCCTCACTTATACTACTTTCTTCTAATAATCTTGTAACTTTCTTACTTATATTACTTACTTCTCTTCTCTTCCTCAATAATATTACATAGTCCTCATATCTTCTTCACTAATAATACTTACTCCTCATATCTTCCTCACTAATACTACTTACTCCTCATATCTTCTTCACTAATACTACTTACTCCTCATATCTTCCTCACTAATACTACTTACTCCTCATATCTTCCTCACTAATACTACTTACTCCTCATATCTTCTTCACTAATACCACATTCTTCTCATATCTTCCTCACTAATGTTACTTTCTTTCCTTCTCTTCCTCACTAATATTACTTACTTCTTATCTCTTCCTCACTAATATTACTTACTTCTTATCTCTTCCTCACTAATATTACTTACTTCTTATCTCTTCCTCACTAATACTACTTACTTCCCTTTTCTTCCTCACTAATATTACTTACTTCTTATCTCTTCCTCACTAATATTACTTACTTCTTATCTCTTCCTCACTAATACTACTTACTTCCCTTTTCTTCCTCACTAATACTACTTACTTCCCTTCTCTTTCTTACTGACACTATTTACTTCTTTTCTCTTCCTCATTTAAACCACTTTCTTCTCATATCTTCCTCACTAATATTACTTACTTCTCTCTTTCTCATTAATACTTCTTACTTCTCTCTTCCTCACTAATATTACTTACTTCTCTCTTTCTCATTAATACTTCTTACTTCTCTCTTCCTCACTAATATTACTTACTTCTCTCTTTCTCATTAATACTTCTTACTTCTCTCTTCCTCACTAGTATTACTTACTTCTCTCTTCCTCACTAATATTACATAGTTCTCCTCTCTTCGTCATAAATACTTACTTCTTTCTTCTTAACCCTCCTCTCTAATACTACTTACTTCTCCTCTCTTCCTCATTAATACTCACTAATGTTACTTACTTCTTATCTCTTCCTCTCTTATACCACTTACTTCTCCTCTCTTCCTCTCTTATACCACTTACTTCTCCTCTCTTAGTGCTCATTAATACTGTTCCTTCGCCATGCGCTCGGCACTTTGAAGTATAAGTTGCGGGTCCTTCGAATGAGACCTTAAAAACCGAGGCCCTGTGTCAGCGGCAGGCATTGGCACGATAAAGATCCCTCATTGCTCAATGGCCCTGAGTGCTGAGTAAAGGTCAAAAGAACTATATATGGTATTAGCCATCTTAGACCCCCATTCAGAAAATGTTTATCTTTGCCCTGGGGAGGAAGAAGGCAAGGGTGCTACTAAAAAAATATCATTTAATTTGCTCAGGTATTCCGTTGCCATGGAAACCATCGTCAAAAACATATACCTTCAGAGCTGAAAATCTGGCATTTATTGTCATTTATGTAATCTTTCATTTTGATACCAACTATATTGTCTTAAGTTAATGATTGTATGTATACTTTTGGATATGTCAAAGTGACTGTTTTACTAAGAAAATATATTTAAAATTTAATAGGTATTCTGTTACCATGGAAACCGTCTACAAAACTTATTCCTTCAAATCTGAAATTATTGCATTCATATGGCTTTCACTGACAATTAACAAATCTTTAATTTTGGTAGCATCTATAAAATCTTCAATAAATGTTTATATTTATATTTTTGGATATCCTAAGGTGATTCCTTTACTAACAAAATATATTTAAATTGATAGGCAATTCCGTTGCCATGGTAACCATTTTTTTTTTTACAAACATATTTCTTCCAACTAGTTTTTGTTGTTATGTACCAAACAGAAACAATCGTTTATTTTTTTCCTTTACAATTTCTTCCATTTTTTTTTTTTTGGTAAAACTATATATATTTTAATTTCTAAGGAAATGGAGGTCCGTATTTGCTTTGCTTCTATTTTGTATTGTTTTATGGACATTGATATTGATTACTGTTCGTTATCCCCATATCCTTCTTTAGAGAAAGGGGACAATTGTACATGTATAACAGGTCCTTCCTGATACAACTAAGTAAATGATTTAATAATTCACACTATGATAGTTTTTATAACAAATTAACCATAAAAAATTAAGAAATTAAATTATTGAATTATTAGAAATTAAAAATATTATGCATTTTTATTGTTTTGTTGCACAATATAAAATAAAATGTTGATTCAAAGCTCTCTGATTATTATATTCATTCATTTTCATTTAATTTTTTTATTTGGTAAATGTAAATAAGTTATAATGGCCGTACATTTGTTGCCTGGTAAACAATGACTGATATCGGAAGATGTAGAGTCTATATGCACAAACAATGAACGTATTTCTACATGATAAATTAAGTTTAATAAAATGTATACTGTACATATACTTCTTCTGTGAACTAATCTCTTGTACAGAAGACTCAAAATTTAAGCGATTCGAAGATCAAATTCTATATCATCGTGTTCCTTGTGATCCACACCCGTACATTCACACATTAAGGCCATAATAAATAAATTGCTAGATTCTCATCCGAATTATTTTAAAAATCGAGGCGGGCGGGCGGCTTTAATTTTATATTTTTTCAATTTTGCAGATTTTTTATTGACCTGGTCAGTCGGTGTAATTTTATCTACAATACCCGAATAAAAGTCATAGTAAATGTTCAATTATCTCTTACTTCACATCATCACCAATCTTCTTTAACCAATGACCCTTGTTTAAAATATATAAGCATGTATTACAGCAATTACCATCTTTTCAGCTGTCAAAATCATGTCGACTTTCTCGGGATTTAAAACGAAAGTAGAATGGTAGATGATCCCGATCAGAATTAAGACGAAGAAAAATGGAAATAAAAAAAATCGAGGCGAGGGTATAAAATTGGGGCGGGCGGGGATGAGAATCTAGGAATATTTTTATTATGGCCTAATGTCGATCGCGATAAAAAATATTCTTCATCATAAATGTGTTTCAAAAACAGATAGGTCTAGAACTTTACTTATGTTCAGGATATTTATGTAGGAAAACATCATAAAGCAATCGACAGACGACACTACTTTGAAAAAAAATTATTAAACACATGTCAACAACATACGTCGTCTTCCTCTCTCAGTACATGCTTGTGACGTCACACGAATCAGAAAATGCAAATTTAATCAAGGTTTTTCAATTTGTTAAGTGTGTGCAATTTTTTTAACAAGATTAATTTTTTGCATGAAGACTTTCTTTGAAAATATCTTTTACATGTGTAAATATCTTTCTTGTTCAAGGCGCCGCACATACATAAAATCGCCGCTAACGATGTCAAAAATGCCACTTTGTTGACATTTTCTTGTAAACTTAGGTACTTTAAACCTTTAGTTCTCTGCATAATCATTAAATAAATATATCAATATAACCATAAAAGAAAAAAATAAATTTTATTCTTTAAAAAAAAATCAGTTTCATCGAGGTTTATTGACATTTAAATTCTAACAAAAACTGGGGCCAAAATATAATAGAAACCATAAATAGTTCATTGAAGCCCTTCACTGGCATACTGTGACGTCTCCATACGAGTGAAAAATTCTCAAGAGGGACATTAAACAATATACAATCAACCAATCAATCTAATACTACTTACTTCTCCTCTTTTCCTCACTTATACTACTTACTCCTCATCCCTTCCTCACTTATATTACTTACTTCTTCTCTCTTCCTCACTAATATTACTTACTTCTTATCTTTTCCTCACTAATATTACTTACTTCTTATCTCTTCCTCACTAATACTACTTACTTCTCATATCTTCCTCACTGATACTACTTACTTCTCATATCTTCCTCACTGATACTACTTACTTCTCATATCTCCTCACTACTGTTTCTTACTTCTCATATCTTCCTCACTAATGCTACTTTTTTCCTCACTGCTGCTACTTACTTGTCTTCCTCATTACTACTAGAGGATGAAGATTCTTGTTTTTTTCTGTATTGTTTCTTCTTATCTAATTTTGATTTCTGAAAATATACATACATGTATATTGATATCATATACATGTCATAATAACTCTCTGTATTAGACAACTTTTCTATTTTATGATTTTGCATAATATATTCATTATACATTGCATGAATAAAAATGAGAATTTTCTTTATCTAATAATTTCATATAAGGTAACTGCATTGGGATTGTGTAACATAAAACATAGCTTTTTAAAAGTATCACCATACAGGGCTCTAAATGGTGACTATGTAAGGGATAAATAACGAGATGGTGTTGAATAGTTTAGAGATAACATTCTCTCCGAGGGCCGAAGGCCCGAGGAGGGGATGTTTTCTCTAAACTATTCAACGCTATCGAGTTATTTATCTTACTTAAAAAAATTCCCTACTTTGTGCCCCAAAGAAACATTTACCCATTCAAATATCCAACTTTTCTGTAATACAATAGGATGTAGCTCATTTAAATATCCAACTGTGACACAAAACAATAGCCTAATCGAACACCCCTTTTATTCATGGACTAGTGAGGATGAAACTACATGGTGCTGATGCCATTTCATTACCCTATTCATTGTACTGAACAGTCATGAAATCAGACGAAGAATAATTTGAAATCCAAAGTAAATTAGAGAGGTTCAGATAGTGTTTTGAATACCTTTGACCTGAAAGCTAAAGAAAACTACAGAATTTTGATAAAGGGTTGGGAATCTGTCATTACATTTTATAAGATGATGGTTTGTTGAGGAAAAGTGTTGAATTCTAATGGAGTTCCATTCGGACAATACTTGCTCTGCGCCCTCGATTACCATGCCCTATGAAAATGATATAACCAATACTACTCGGCATCTATGATATAACCTATACTAGTGTGGCAAATTTGGAGTAATTATTATTTTTCATGTGCATTGAAAATACATTTTAAAATTGTTTTTATCTTTTTTGTTCATTGTTTTATGTTTTATGCACCTCAGTTGGGTATTTAAATATTCAACCGATAGACAGTTGGATATTTGAATATCCAACTGATGGCCAGTCAAATCTTTAAATATCCAACTAGTGCTGCTTGAATCGGTAAAATATATGCAGACTTTTAACAATGGGTGATGTCATAGAAGTTTTTTGATTAAAGAATACAAGATAATAAATGCCAAGATACTCTTATCCCCTCCACTTTCAAAAGTGGAAAGGACACAAGATACCAACTTTCACTGACTAACCCCAGGGGTCCCTTCATTAACTAATATCAGCATGATAATTGCTAAAATATTATTCTTTAAAAGATATATTTACATCAGTTATAATTATATATATATATATATATATATATATATATATATATATATCTCAAACTATAGGGATAAAAGTATCTTCTAATACCCCTCAGCCACAGACAAATATACACACTTTGACTCTTACAGGGAACAATAAAAAGGAAAACCCTTTGGCCCATTAAGTAAGTTTCCTGTAATGAATAGATCCCATTTCATTGATATTTGGCTCTGGTTTACCTTTGAGGGGGCTATGTCATAATGTATGAGTCCCATGTCTTTGATATTTGGCTCTGATTTACCTTTGAGAGGGCTATGTATGAGTCCTCCTCGGCTTACCTTTAATGGGCTATGTATGAGTCCTCCTCAGTTTACCTTTGAGGGGGCTATGTATGAGTCCTCCTCATTTTCCCTTTGAGGGAGCTATGTATGAGTCCTCCTCATTTTCCCTTTGAGGGGGCTATGTATGAGTCCTCCTCGCCTTACCTTTAATGGGCTATGTATGAGTCCTCCTCAGATTACCTTTGAGGGGGCTATGTATGAGTTCTCCTCGGTTTACCTTGAGGGGGCTATGTATGAGTCCTCCTCAGTTTACCTTTAAGGGGGCTATGCATGAGTCCTCCTCTGTTTACCTTTGAGGGGGCTATGCATGAGTCCTCCTTGGTTTACCTTAGAGGGGGCTATGTATGAGTCCTCCTTGGTTTACCTTAGAGGGGGCTATGTATGAGTCCTCCTTGGTTTACCTTAGAGGGGGCTATGTATGAGTCCTCCTTGGTTTACCTTAGAGGGGGCTATGTATGAGTCGTCCTTGGTTTATCTTTGAGGGGGCTATGTATGAGTCGTCCTTGGTTTATCTTTGAGGGGGCTATGTATGAGTCCTCCTTGGTTTATCTTTGAGGGGGCTATGTATGAGTCCTCCTTGGTTTACCTTAGAGGGGGCTATGTATGAGTGGTCCTTGGTTTATCTTTGAGGGGGCTATGTATGAGTGGTCCTTGGTTTATCTTTAAGGGGGCTATGTATGAGTCCTCCTTGGTTTATCTTTGAGGGGGCTATGTATGAGTCCTCCTCAGTTTACCTTTAAGGGGGCTATGCATGAGTCATCCTTGGTTTACCTTTGAGGGGGCTATGTATGAGTCCTCCTTGGTTTATCTTTGAGGGGGCTATGTATGAGTCCTCCTTGTTTTACCTTTGAGGGGGCTATGTATGAGTCCTCCTTGGTTTACCTTTGAGGGGGCTATGTATGAGCCTTCCTCTGTTTACCTTTGAGGGGGCTATGTATGAGTCCTCCTCAGTTTACCTTTAAGGGGGCTATGTATGAGTCGTCCTTGCTTTATCTTTGAGGGGGCTCTGTATGAGTCCTCCTTGGCTTACCTTTGAGAGTCCTCCTTGGTTTACCTTTGAGGGGGCTATGTATGAGCCCTCCTCTGTTTACCTTCGAGGGGGCTATGTATGAGTCCTCCTTGGTTTATCTTTGAGGGGGCTATGTATGAGTCCTCCTCTGTTTACCTTTGAGGGGCTATGCATGAGTCCTCCTTGGTTTACCTTAAAGGGGGCTATGTATGAGTCCTCCTTGGTTTACCTTAGAGGGGGCTATGTATGAGTCCTCTTCAGTTTACCTTAGAGGGGGCTATGTATGAGTCCTCCTTGGTTTATCTTTGAGGGGGCTATGTATGAGTGGTCCTTGGTTTATCTTTGAGGGGGCCATGTATGAGTCCTCCTCAGTTTACCTTTAAGGGGGCTATGCATGAGTCCTCCTTGGTTTATCTTTAAGGGGGCTATGTATGAGTCCTCCTTGGTTTATCTTTGAGGGGGCTATGTATGAGTCCTCCTTGTTTTACCTTTGAGGGGGCTATGTATGAGTCCTCCTTGGTTTACCTTTGAGGGGGCTATGTATGAGCCCTCCTCTGTTTACCTTTGAGGGGGCTATGTATGAGTCCTCCTCAGTTTACCTTTAAGGGGGCTATGTATGAGTTGTCCTTGCTTTATCTTTGAGGAGGCTATGTATGAGTCCTCCTCTGTTTACCTTTGAGGGGGCTATGTATGAGTCCTCCTCTGTTTACCTTTGAGGGGGCTATGTATGAGTCCTCCTTGGTTTATCTTTGAGGGGGCTATGTATGAGTCCTCCTCTGTTTACCTTTGAGGGGGCTATGTATGAGTCCTCCTTGGTTTACCTTTGAGGGGGCTATGTATGAGCCCTCTTCTGTTTACCTTTGAGGGGGCTATGTATGAGTCCTCCTTGGTTTATCTTTGAGGGGGCTATGTATGAGTCCTCCTCTGTTTACCTTTGAAGGGGCTATGTATGAGTCCTCCTCACTGTCACTATCCAATAGCTGGTAACTTTTATTTCTCTTCTGCATTTCCAAGGCTTGTCTCTCTTGGATACGAGAACTCTTCTCTGCTACCTCTTTTCTTGGCAACTGAAGTGAAGAAATAAAATGCAAATAAAGACAGTAATAAAGTAACTAATCAGATATTGTTATGGAATCAGTACATATCATATCGTGTGACCATGATTTCTTGCATAAACACCAGTGTTAGATTGACTTGTCTGGTGTGAAACAGCAGTGTGAGATTTTTCTGTCTTACACTGTGTATTACTATGCCGCGAACAGTAACGTAAACATTCCATCTATATATATATAGAAATTGTAACAATGTTAAAAAATATCACATATACTTAAAATGTTGTCATTTAACTTATTAAAATAAGCCCTATACTAATTATATCAACCTTTTTTCTTGCTTCAAATTTACCTTCCATATTTACATTCGGAACTCTCTGGATTGTTCGTAGTTAATGCACTGAGTACGAGTTATCACCCATGTTTAATTTGGTACATTGAGAATACACGGAAAAAATTCTATTGTTAAACTGGGTGCTTAGGACAATATCATTTTAACGATAGAACGTTCTATCTATCAAGCTACAGATTTGCATCTAGGTCTCTATCTTAGGTTGAAAACTTAAAAGATATAAAACTGATTACCAACATTCCTGAGAATGCTAGAAATAATTTGATTTTATGACTATTCATCGTATATATCGTCCTTTAAGAAATTATGAATTTCAGTCTCCCTCCTGACTGACAGGATTTATGATATTTAAAGCCAAAATAAAAATTTCCATTTTTTCACTGTTAATTTATATCCCATTTGGGATATTATCCCAAACAGGCTATTATATCCCTTCTGGATGATTGTCCCTAGATAGAATGTTCTGTCATTAATATGATTATCATAAATGTCCTATGGACCTGGTTTAACGATAGAATTTGTTCCGTGTATTCACAATGTACCAAATTAAACACCGTGATAACTCTTACTCAGTGTATTAACTAAACAATTAAGAGAGTTCCGAAAGTAAACATAGCGTGTAAATTTGAAGAGATAAAACATAGGTAATCAGAGATTACAGAGCTCACCTCAACATGTGTTGTCTTTAAGTAAGGCAAATTAAGTCACACAATTAACCAACAAAAAGTGTACATCCAAAAATGCAAAATTTATGCAAATTTGATACTTTGGAATAGACCTATATAAAAACTAAAAACTAGTTCTTCATCATGAAAATGTACCGTAGCAAGATTGAGAGTTTTCATCCCTTGATGCATCATTTGTGCAACTGGTTTATATAAGCCTTATAGTTTCTTGGTGATAGACTTGCACCCATAACTTTTCCGAGGTCTATTATCTGGAAAATGTATGTCGAATTCAGCATCTGAAGCAAGTCCATAAGTGTGCATCCTAAGATGTATCATCCATGCAAGTTTGGTCAACATAGGGCTTAAAGTTACTTGCAAATGAAACCTGTATAAAAAAATTAACCTTTCCACTAATCCAGAAAATGTAGGTCAGATTCAGCATCCGAAGCCAGCCTAGTAGAATGCACCCTTAGATGTACCATCCATGCAAGTTTGGTCATTATAGGGCTCAAAGTTACTTGGAAATGAATCCTGCACCAAAAACTTTAACCTGTTTACTCGTCCAGAAAATGTAGGTCAGATTCAGCATCCGAAGCAAGTCTGGTAGTATGCATCCTAAGATGTACCATCCATGCAATTTAGTCGTTATAGGGTTCATAGTACTGTACCTTGGAAACGAAACCTGCACCCAAAATTTTAACCTGTTCACTCAACCGGAAAATGTAGGTCAGATTCAGCATCCGAAGCAGGTGTTGTAATATGCAACCTAAGATGTACCATCCATGCAAGTTTGGTCATTATATGTCTCATAGTAACTTGGAAATGAAACCTGCACCAAAAACTTTAACCTGTTCACTCAACCGGAAAATGTAGGTCAGATTCAGCATCCGAAGCAAGTCTAGTAGATTACATCATAAGATGTACCATCCATGCAAGTTTGGTCATTATAGCGCTCAACGTTTCTTCGAAATGAAACCTTCACCAAAAACTTTAACCTGTTCACTCAACCGGAAAATGTAGGTCAGATTCAGCATCCGAAGCAAGGCTGGTAGTATGCATCCTAAGATGTATCATCCATGTAAGTTTAGTCATTATATGTCTCATAGTAACTTGGAAATGAAACCTGCACCAAAAACTTTAACCTGTTCACTCAACCGGAAAATGTAGGTCAGATTCAGCATCCGAAGCAAGTTTAGTAGAATACATCCTAAGATGTACCATCCATGCAAGTTAGGTCATTATAGGGCTCAAAGTATTTTCAAAATGAAACCATCACCAAAAACTTTAACCTGTTCACTCAACCGGAAAATGTAGGTCAGATTCAGCATCCGAAGCAAGGCTGGTAGTATGCATCCTAAGATGTATCATCCATGTAAGTTTGGTCAACATAGGGCTTATAGTTACTCAGAAATGAGACCTACACCAAAATCTGCACCAAAAATGTTAACCTGCACCAAAAACATTAACCTGGTCATTCCTTTGCTGAAATTGCAGCATCTGAAACTTTGACTGATACAATGAAACACACTAGCAACATCTTCCATGCATGTCTAATCAATATAGGACATAGAAGTACTTAAAAAGAAAACTGCTCCAAAAAACTTAACCTTAACCCGGGACGCCGACGCCGACGCCGACACCGACACCGACGCCGACGCCGACGCCGAGGGTATCACATAAGCTCCCCCCAACTTCGTTGAGGTGAGCTAAAAATGTTGCGAAATTAAGTTGAATTTTTGTCTTTTTTGGGGTTATATTTTAGCTTTGAATACTTAAGCAACCCCTCAAAGGTTTGTAATAATTAATTTGGAAGTTATTTTCAGTGCAAATCCCTTTGTATTCTTCAAAATTGTTTCGGAGCAATTCTGCAATTTTTTGCAAGATTGCGAGTATATGGGAGGTATTCTAACTGTGGTAAGGGCTTGCCCCAATACACAGTAAGATTTTTCTAATTAGATTACCCCCAACCTGTTAAATAAATTAATAACAAGCTCAATAGATAAATGTGTAAGAACAGAGGAAATTCGAAAGGAAATTTGTACATATATCAAGCAAATTTTTGTGTGAAACCTTCCCAGAACTCTTTGCTACTAGGATTCCATGCGATAATGGTGAATAAATAAAGCATAAAAGGGCTTTCAGTTTATAGAAATCTTAAAAGATACAAACCAATAGTCTACAATGACTTTCGTCAAAAATTGCACTATGTCTATAGTTTTAACCAGATGCTTGAACTCCGTGATGTCGTGTGCCGTCACATTTAGTCGAGCTGTCTCGTGCAACTTGATGTTTGAAGTGGCTGATCAATGTTTCAAGTGTGTTTTTGATGGTACAACTGCGCACACCACAACGGTCACGCCATAAAACATATATTAAACATAGGGAAAACCAACAAATTTGATAGTTTAACAGGTTAGAACCAATCGCCCAAATGGGATATAATAGTCCGTTTGGGATATAATATCCCAAATGGGCTATAAATTTACTAGTGTTGTCAAATCAGTTGAAACTCAGAATCGATTAATCGGTAACATCGGTTGACCCTAACCGACTGATCATCGGCCAATAATCGAATCGGTAACCCTATGCATAAAATAGGCATTAGATTTTATAAAAATTAGAATTTTATTGTTAAATAATGTAAGTAAAGGTGCATTGTACAGATCGAAATTCTAAAAACAGTATACATGCGGTTTGATTAACGATTTCAGTAATACAGTTTTTTGCATGATTAGGAATTACTTGGCCTGGGAAAAGTAAGCATTGACAGATCAGGTTTTAATTTACATGATCATCTAAAATGTATATGGAATTAATTTTTTAAACGGTTATAAGACATTTAATATTGCAAATTCCTTGTGATTCCGTATGAAGTGACAGGTGAATTCCCCCAAATACTAGTACTGAAAATTAATATATTTTATTTAAACAAGTAGTTTAGTTTCTTTAGTTTAGAAATACAAATATCATTATCTTTTGATTTATTATAAACAGATTTTAAGTACATGTATTTTAAAAATAGTAAAGGACAACTCTTGAAAGATATATATTTTGATAACAAGAGCCTGTTCTTGAAATAAAAGTGAGAAAACTGTAAAAAAGATGTGTGCTGAAATATACCGATTAATCGATTTTTAAAATCTCCAATCGATTGTCTAAAATCGACAGCTTTCCGACTGATCATCGATTATAAATCGATCATCATGACAACACTAAAATTTACAGTGCAAAAATTAAAAATTTTTATTTTAGTAATAAATTTCATAAATCCGCATCAAAACACTTAAAATAGAATAACTTTTGGTAAGCAAGTTCTTCTGCAACCCTACCGTTTGTTAGATTGATCCCCAAGAAGTTAAGGAACTTTCGAGGGATCAATCTCCTAAACAATGGGCACACAGGAAAACTTGTCAACCAAAAGTTATTCCTTTTAAGTGTCCTGATGCGGATTTATGATATTTATAGCCAAAATAAAAATTTCAATTTTTGCACTGTAAATTTATAGCCCATCTGGGATATTATATCTCAAACGGACTATTATATCCCATTTGGGCGATTGGTCCCAACCTGTTTGATACGGTTACCAATATAGAATGTTATTCTATTTACTGAATTTAGATCTTAAATAAAAAATCTTAAAAGCTTTCGAGTGACTTGCCTTTGTCCAAAGTTCGTGCGCAAAATTAACCATATTAACGTCAATGTCTACTGTGCCTGTTTCTCTCAGTTTGTTCACAAAATCGTCAGGGTTTGCTGCCTTCTTTGCCAAACCCAAGAGGAATTGAGATATAAACTTGTCAGATATACCAAGAATATCGTGGAGTTTATCATTTACCCATGTTTCGATCAGAGAAACCATTTTCTTTGCATTAAGGTGTAGGAAATCTCAGAGCTCAATCAGTTTGTGGGCGCCGCCATATTAAATGAAAAGTCTAAATACCGAAAAGCCCATAAGAAAATTCTCCTCCGGGAAAATGAAATCCCTACAAATATGTATTAGTCAATCAAATAGAAATGAAAAGGAGAAGAAATCTTAATTCCGTGCAATCAGATATATTTCCCCCTCAACATAGCCAAATGTTCAACAAACATAAAATAAAAAAGGGGACATCAAAGTACTGAAATAACACACGGTGGTTGAGCGTTTATCTAAACGATCTACCTTAAAAAAATTCAAAATATGAAGCAGATGTGATGTGCATGGCAGACTTTGTGGAGTCAATGTATAAATGGAAATACATGTGGCTGTTGTTAAGGTGTTTCCACCCTCACAATTTTCATGGTTGAAAGTACAAAAAATGCATTTATTTTCATTTAATATACTTTAAATTTTCCAATTATTGCAAAAAATGTATATGTCACCACATAGATGCGAAACATAAATAAACAGAATGTATGTCACCATAAAAAAAATTGCTCATTTTTTGTAAAAGGTATTATGAGAAATACATGTATGTAAAAACTGGTTAAAATGCATAATTCTGATGCAGAATGTTCCTAAATACTTCCTACTTATAAGTATGGCACGCCAAATTCACAAAAATTAGCTAATCATAGTTTCACAATCGATAAACTAGGTTTATCAGTTGTAAACTATAGTTTACGGACTGTAAACTATAGTTAACAACGTTAATCTATATTTTACATCTGTAAACCATAGTTAACGCGATAATCTATGTTTCACAACCGTAAACTATACTTAACACCGAAAACAATCATTTGCGATTGCAAAACATAGATTATCTGATAAATGCAGTTTCACGATTTGTAAACTATAGTTTACAACTCTTAACTATAGTTAACTGTTAACTGATAAATATAGTTTCGATTTGTGAAACTATGATTAACAACTCTTAACTATAGTTTACGATTGTAAATTATAGTTTACAAACGTGAATCTATGTTCATCAACAAAATCTATTGTGAACGCTTTATTACAGACAGATAAACTTAGATTAGCATTCGTAAACTATAGTTAACAACCGTTAAATATAGTTTTACAGATGAAAACTATAGTTAACGAATTGTTAACTATAGTTTACGGTTTGTAAACTATAGTTACAGTCGATAAACCTAGTTTATCAACTGTGAAACTATGTTTAGCTCATTTTTGTGAATTTGGCGTGCCATATACGAGTATAAGATACTTTTGAAATGTGAATATCAGGGGAACTATTTTACATTAGAAGTACAATAAAGCAAATGCCTGAATGCAGGGACCTTAGAAGGAGTTATTGCCTTTGTCAAAATTTTTTAAAGATTGAATAATTGAATAAATAAAGAAAATATGCATTTTTTAAATTCTTTTACTTAACAATATTTATCATTACACCTATTGTAAAGCATTCTTTCAAAAGATAATTTATTGTTCTATTAGGTATGAATTTAAACTAATTACAGTTTTTGCAAAAACCTATGACATCATAGTTGCGTGGAATTACCTTAATTGACAAAACATCATCGATTTATCTGAATGTCGTGTTGAAGGTCTCAGCAAGTTTTTTATTCTCATGTAGAAACTTTTGAGTCAATTCTGCTTCATATGAAAACAGGTCGTCTAGCTAATAAAGGAACACAATTAGTGCCCATTGATTTTCCAACAGTTTAATTGTTTGTCAATGAGGAACACCAGCATCTTTTAAATATCAACTTCAGAGTAGTTGTGTGTAAAATCAAAAGATATTAATTAAAATTTCTGAGTTCATATATTCTTACTGAAGAAGCAGTTATCTATAATAAAGACTATTGTGGCATCACCACTGAAGAAACGTTTCCAGTTTTAGAAACAGCAGGGTTATAAATGTTTTTAGAAGCTTAAAATAGAAACATCCAGTCTATAACCCTTTTTTATACTTGATCATGTGATCTAGTTTGAGCCAATCAGATAGCTGGCAACAATAGAGAAAAGTAATAATCACGTACATGTATCCATGACTTTTCTACACTTTATACAACCATTCCTTGCCATAAACTAGACAACTGACCAGTTAGTAAGCAAGGGCCCCGCCGAGAGATAGATTTATAAGGGTTCAGCTTACGGAATGAAAATTTTTCTTGATTACCAAAAATAAAAAAAAAAAACAATAAAGATATAATGATATCTGTGGCGAAGTGAAACAATCTAGTATTAAGTTATAAGTCTATAGACCAAAAACAGATACCGATCGATTCATCGAACTGCTCAATTTGGTTCATAAATGCCGGCCAGCATTTGATTTTTAAAAAGATATTAATTATGTTTATGCAGAGACATATATAAAGCCATGGTTTTATATGTCTTTGGTTTATCGTGTTTATGTAGGCGTTGAACATTGTTTTATAAAATATGCTTGAAAAGTTTGCAAATATTCAAATTTTATAAGTTTAACATTGAAATCTGTTTTATTTTCCTTCAAATATATTAAAAGGATAAATCAGGTCATTTAAACCCATCACATCAGATAAAAATATCAGCTAGGTCATTAAAAAATGTCAGGTCTTTAGTAGGAAATCATCAGGTCAATTTTTTCTTAATTTCTGGCTAAAAGATTTGTCTCAAAACCATTTAAAGTGTTCAAATTTTAAAAAGAAACAAAAATATCAGGTCATTCAAAACCTCCCGCTAAGTCATTTATAAAATATCAGGTCATCACTAGAAATATCAGGTCATTCAAAATATCAGGTCAACAAGTTTTTGTAAGAACACCCTGATACAAAGAAAAAATTCTCTGTGTTATCTCCTAAAAGTGTTTCTAGTATAGTATCATCAATAATTTCCTCCCCAAAAAATAAAATAGAATGTTTAACAGACGCAGATCCAGAAATTTTTTTCCAGGGGGGGGGGGGTCCACCCCAGTCAAAAAAAAAAAATCCAATCCCAAAAATTTCTTGACAAGCAAGAAAAAAAAAACCTAAACAACTCGCCCAAACGTCAAAAACCTATTTCGTGGGGAGGGGGGGGGTAATCTATGACTTCAAATCTTTCACTTTTCATACCAATTTCACACCTATTCGCGTTTACCAGGGGGGTCAGCGTTTTCCAAGGGGGGGGGGGTCCATGGTAACTTTTTTTCTTGCTTTAGTATATACATTTTTTAACCTTGTCAATTCCAGGGGGGTCCTGCCCCCCTCTAGAAATTGATAATGTTATGTGATATTTTTTCATCAGATAAAATATCAGGTCTTTAGTATGTTCCCGAAAAACAATCCAAGAGAATCGGGAGTCATCAGTTCTAGTTTTACCAGTCTCCAGGTTTTTTGGTTGTTGTACGAACTGTCTACAGCTAAACGACCCCACAAATCAAAAAAAGAGAACGTGCTAAGAAGTCAGGAAACTCGGAGTGATGCTAATGATCCTTTTTACAGGCAAGTACAGTCTTTGGTCGGTTCCATCCTATGCCCATAGCAGAATCACTGTATGTATTATTATTATTATAATCAAATAATTTAATTTTGTTTGTATTCTAGCCTCTCATTGGTTGATTTCCAAAAGGGAACGCAAATTATTCTGTATAATCTGGTTTGGTATGGGGATAATCCCCCCTCCCCCTTGACAACCAGCTGAATGATCTGTAGCTGCAGAACTGTAGCGTTATGGTTTATATATTAGTCTTTGACCATAACGCTACAAATCCTGCAATACAAAAAATGTGCAATATACAGGGCAAGATTTTTTTTGGGAGCATTTCTTCACTTTCCAACTTTAGTAAATCATCTACCTTTAACCACTCATTCCAGACCCATTCTTAAACCAATCTGTAAATTTTATCCTCCTCTCAATCCTTTATATATCGTCTCTACCGGCGACATACTTGCCAACCTCCAGCATGTAAAAATCTGGTCATGACCAGATTTGGAAAGTAAAAAATCTGGTCATAACGCGTAACGACATTCACGACATATTTACCATGATTAAATTTTATACATATGTATACAAAGTATTTGTGTATTGAGAATTCTTTTATTGAAAAAGGCTTGCATTTACAATGACAAAAATTCATACATAATTTGATTAAATTTACATGTTAAAAAAAGAGAATTGAAGTTTTCATTATTTCAGTATTGACCTTAAGTAAGTGTGCATTTTTTTAAAAAGCCTTCTCAGTTTCTGCTAAATTTTAAAGTTTATACATGTACCAATTTCAGTTTTGAAGTTATTTTTTATCTCTCTTAATCAATTAACTACTGCAATATGTATTAAATGTGAAGTTATATCAACATGTCTTCGATCACTTTATTTTATCTAGAATGAAAGTTTTTTTTCCCAACATTCCTTGATATCTTCATACCGGTAAATTTTGTTTCTCTATTTCTTGGTTCAATCAGAGACATGTGTTTGGTTCAATTTGTTCCTGCTGGCCCTGATAACGATCTAGTTCTATCGGAAGCCATTTTAATTGACTTCAAACATTGATTTGTCAAAACAACACCCAGTTAATTGTTTACACCTGCACTGATAATTAATCCATCGGCATTGTTTACGTAGATCTAAGCTTGGGTTGTAACTGGAAGTTAAAAGTGCAACCTAATTTACGAACCAAATCCGGAAATCGGGAGATTTTCGTGTTGTTCAGCAAAAATCGGGTGAAAAGCATGACCCGCCAGGTCAAAAAAAATAATCGGGTTACGGGTTGAAAAATCGGGTGTGACCCGACGAAATCGGGTGAGTTGGCAACTATGACAGGCGATAAACTGGCTTGATTTGAATTGACAGAGGGATTGCAGAAAATTCTATGTCAAGTGAGTTTATCGCTTGTAGAGACAACTATAAAGGGTTGGGACGTCTATAAAATATACAGATTTACTAAAAGAAATGTGTCTAGGATTATGGAGGGAAAGGTAGATGATTTACCAATGTAGGAAAGTAGAGAAATTCTCCCTAACAGTGTGCAAAAAATCTTGTGCCGTAAATTGCACATTTTTTGCATTACGGGATCTTTTGTTATGGTCAAGACTAATATATAAAACCAT